TATATGTGTATGTGTGTGTATAGATACCGTATATGTATATGTGTATGTGTATACACTGTATATATGAAAGTGTTTGGATATGTAGGTAAGGGTAGGTTTATGTGTATATGTATAAATTTATATATGTAAATGGGTACGGTTTTCAGCAAGGTTAAAGTCATTATAATTATATAGTTAAGACAGCACACCGGACTTCTTGGCTCCACACCTACAAAACAAAGATAGCAAAACCACAGCAACAATAATGCATAACTATATAATTATGTATATATATAATTAACATATTTTTCACATATCTTCTAATCGCTCTTTCACTCTTTCTCATTACATTTCACTTTTTTCTTTCTCTTTCTTTTTCTTCTATTAAAAAAAGCCACTGATGATGAAGAAGCTAAGATACTAATATTCTGATATTAAGTTCTGCTTTCTACTGAAGTGGCACAAAAATAAACTCACCCAGAAGAGGCTGGCTTTGTGGTCCGGCATAATTTATCCAACAGATCTTAGTTTCAATGATCCATGGCTTCTTCAAAAGTAAATAAATAAATAAATAAATAAATAAATAAATAAATAAATAAATAAATAAATAAATAAATCAAGATAAAAATCAAGATAAGAAGACATAACCTGCAACAGTCGTTTGAGGTGAAAGCTGACTCTGTGTTTCTGGTCTGGTTCATACTGTAGCTACATCAGTCAAGTCTCTGTGAAGTCTTGTGGCTGAAGGAGTGAAGCGTACCATCAGAACCATCAGAACCATCAGAACCATTAGAACCATCAGAACCATCAGAACCATCAGAAGCAGAAGGGAAAAAGAAAGGAGAATAGAATGCTGAGGACTTTGGGCAGAGGTCTGTGGAATTATCGCAGTATTTTCCTGATCATCCTCACACCACTGCTGCTGCTGCCCCTGCCTCTCTTGGTCGGAACAAAGGTGAGTTTCTTGGAATACAGAATCAATTCTGAAGTCTTTTCACAAATGTAATCATTTATCTGATCAGTGCTGAGTGAAAGGCCATGAAACTGGGTCACTGTCATGCTGCAGAGAGTCCACCTTTCACTGAATTGAACTGCAGCACATTTTTCCATAAGAAAGTGACTCTATAGTCCTTTTTGCTGTATTTGGGAAACATTTTTAACTCTACTACAGTAAAAACTAATTTACACGTCTTTAACATTTTGTTTTTGCTCTTCAGGAGGCAGGATGTGGCTTTGTGTTGGTTCTGATGGCGGTGTACTGGGTGTCAGAAGTAATTCCTCTGTCTATGACGGCCATGCTTCCTGCCATTCTCTTCCCTATGTTTTCTATCATGAAATCATCAAATGTGAGTTCGCATAAACAGTCTGCATGTGTCGGTTATATGTCATTTTGAAACATCCACTAAAACAGCTTTATGCTGTCATTCTGTCAAAAATAACAATAATATTTAATCTGACAAACCTGTTTTGTCTCATTGTTTATAATACTTTTGAGTTTACACTGACTGACCACAAAATAAATCTTTTCCATCATTAACTCTCACAAACTCAAAAGAACTTTGGTGAAATATGAGTTTCCCTCACTGTAAATCTGTTGTCTGACAGCAGCTCACAGACGGGTCAGGGACTCGGACCTGCACAGGTCATGTTAAGCAGTTTCTGCAGCTCCGTGCTTAGAGGAAGAGTCTCTGTCCTGCATTCATTTCAAACAGAACAGAGCCTTAACGTATGGAGATGAATTAGTCTCAAAAAGATTGGCACGGATCAGCTCGCCTGTGAACGTGACCTTTGAGACTTTCTCAGTTCTGAAAATTCACACGTGTAAATGCTGCGTTCAGGACTGGTGGAAAGCTGGGACTCTGAGCTTCACCAGACTGGTTTACTGGGTTCTTTTTTTATTTGTTTATTTATTTGGATCCCTAGCAGAGACTATTCTTCCTGGAGTCCTTATGCATGAAATCCACACTGGTTCTATTGAAAACACGTGTCTGACTTACAGCTCATAAACCCTACAGTACGTTAAAACACACACTTACATTGACATTACTGGGTTCATAAATGTTACATTTTGTGGACTGAAAACCTAAAATGAATTTCAGAAAGTTCTGAGTTTGTTTCGTTATGTTTGGAATGAATGACTGGAGCTGGATTTATATCTGAACTGGATTAAAATTTAAACTTATTCTTTTAATCGAATCCCCAGATGACTTCTGTTGTAAAATTGGTGATTTATAAATAAAATGAACTGAATGAACTCACAATGGTTTTTATGTTGAGCACTGTTGGAGGCTCAATGTTTTTTGTCACAATTATCTTGAGAGTTTTACAATTTTAGGAACTACTAAATTAATTTACAAGCTGATAATTTTACAAAACCTTAAACATTTCACATTTCCCTGATTGTGTCACTTGTTTATATGTTCTGTTCAAGTTGTAATATTATTATTTGTTTGATTTGTTTTAGGTGGCAAAAGCATATTTCAGAGACTTCCACATTTTGTTAGTAGGTGTCATCTGTCTGGCTACATCTATTGAGAAGTGGGGCCTCCATCGAAGGATAGCCCTGAGGCTGGTCACTGCGGTGGGAGTGAACCCTGGCAGGTTAGACTTTTTATCTGCTTCTTAGCTCAACCATTTCCATCAATATAGAGCTCAGACAGGAAACAAGATTAAATAAAGGATTCAATTTTTTTTATTCTGAGGTTTTATGTAGGTGCTGCTATAAAAGCAGGACTTTTGTTAGTTTGCTGATCCAGAGCATGCAGCTGTGGTTTTTTTTTTTAACTCCAAGATGGAAACAGTCTGTGAAGGGTTTTTAGGTCATTTGTAAAGTATGTGAAGTCCATCATTGTGACAGCTGAAGTTTGGACCAAACAGGGTCCAACAGAGCAAAGATCCCAAACCCAGAACAGAGACGAATGTCTGCAAACCTCAACCAACTAAAGGAATGTTGGGAATAAGAACGGACCAACGTTCTTACAGAACCACTTGAGACTCATAACATCAGACAGTCCTGTAAGACTGGTTAGTACTGCTCCTCTCAGTGAGGAGGTCCTGGGTTCAGACCTGCGGGTTTCTGCGTGAAGTTTTCACGTTCTCGTGTTTGTGAGGGTTTTCTCCAGGTAGAGTTGTTCCTGCAGCTTGTGATTGTTTCCTCCAGGTTGTTGCTGGGCTTCATGGCTGGCTGTGGCTTCCTCTCCATGTGGGTCCAAAACACCTCAGCGGTCGCAATGGTGATGCCTATTGTTGAGGCTGTCCTCCAGCAAATCCTGAAGGCCAACGAGCCAGGATGTTCTGGAAAAGATAATCCTAACCTACAGCTGGAAGGTAACTGACCACTGTGTAACCAACCCATTCTCACTCCCAAGTCGTCACATATTGACGCGTTTCCAAGGTTCCCTCTACGTCCGATTTTGATGCGCAGGGTAACCCCGTCACGTCAGTTAGTGACGAGATGGGGCGAAGTCTGTTGACATATTTTCAGAAAGTGTATAAAATGCGCGAAAACGACCGTTCCAAAGCCTGAAATTGCCTTTGTTCACTTTAGACATCCTGTCCCTGACCGTAGTACCTAAAATTAACCATTTTTAGAAAATGTACGAAATTCACGTCAACATGTTGTAAAGCGTAAAATGACCAAATATTCACCATGGACATCCTACACCTGATCCCAGTACCTAAATTTAACCATTAATCCTGATCCCTCATGTTAACCTCAGACCCCCGACCCAAAGACCCCTGGTGGCGAAACCCGGAAAATCCGCGGGCGTCAAGGYCTGACGCGAGGGGMGTACCCTGCGCGTCAAAATAAGACGCAGAGGGAACCTTTGGAAAAGCGTCAATATGTGACGACTTGGGAGTGAGAATGTGTAGGTGTAACACATACTGACACACTGGAGCTCCAACCTGTTCCTGTTTAGCTGGGTTTTATTTCTGACAGCTTGATCATAAAGATAAACTTATTATGGCCTATATACTCTTCCTAACACAACCCTCACCATTTACTCAGGCTTGGGACTGACATAAAACACGCTAGCTTGTGCTCCCCAGTGCCTTGTTTGTATATGACATTAATCTGTGGTGAGAACAGGGAAAAGTCAGCCATGACAGGACAGAGTCCAAGGTGTGACTGAGAGGGAGGCAGGAGGAACAGTGAGGCTACAAGGAAAAGAGGTCGCAAAAGTAAGGACTTATTGTCCACTGTCCAGAAGAACAGGGAGTGTGGTGGAAAGGTGAAGGGGAGAGTCCAGGCAGGATGGAGAAAAGTTTCAGGGGTGATTTGTGACAAAGGGGTGGCAGCAAAGGTCAAAGGAAAGGTTTACAAGAGACCAGTGAGACCAGCTATGGTTTGGAGACAGAGACGTGGACAAAAAGACAGGAGACAGAATTGGACGTGTCTGAGCTGAATATATTGAGGTTCTCCTTGGAAGTGACAAGGCTGTAGAAGATTAGGAATGAGGTCATCAAATGTACAACACAGGTTGAAGGACTGGGAGAGATTTGACTGAGAGGGTTTGGACATGTCCAGAGGAGGGACAGTGGGTGTATAGGTTTGGACGTGTCCAGAGGAGGGACAGTGGGCGTATAGGTTTGGATGTTTGGACGTGTCCAGAGGAGGGACAGTGGGCGTATAGGTTTGGATGTTTGCAGAGGTGGGACAGTGGGCGTATAGGTTTGGATGTTTGGACGTGTCCAGAGGAGGGACAGTGGGCGTATAGGTTTGGACGTGTCCAGAGGAGGGACAGTGGGTGTGTAGGTTTGGACATGTCCAGAGGAGGGACAGTGGGCTATAGGTTTGGACGTGTCCAGAGGAGGGACAGTGGGTGT